CGTCTAAGGCGAGCGGACTGATTCCAACACGGTGCCGGTGCTCCGACTAGGTCATCACGTCAAGGTATACGCTATTACTCCGTGGTGTGCGAAAGGTACCATAAACGCCTACGTGTCATCGCTCAAGATGCAGCAATCAAAAGCCGAGAGCGTTACCAGCGTAGACTACGCGCTAAACTGCACACATATATATCCCTTCGTTTCGGAAACTCGATCCAAACACTGCACCGTCTTCGCCGTCTTCGTTCCTACGAGGAGGAAAGGTGATGGCCCGTCATTAGTCAGCTCGATTCCACCGGCCAAGTTCCAGCCATACCCATACCATAGCCAAGTACGACCAAGTTCCTTCCGCCACTGATCCACACTGTTCCGTATAGACCGACACGCTGTTTACAAACAACTCCGCATTTGCCCACACCAGGTGTGGGCACTGCGCAAGCGCAGAAACCAGATTCGCGAGAGGTGAAGCTTCTGCGCATGCGCCGTGGCGACAACAGCGCCACCGCAGGAGTGTGACGTCAAAGCGGCGTGTTGGTCTATACCCGCAGACAGCTCTGCAGCCACGACCAGCCGGTATTTCAACTCATAAGCCGCTAGGCGTCGTCGTCGGCGCCACGGTTCTCAAAATGGCGGCGCCCTTAATGAATAAAAAAAATGCAAAGAAGGGTTTACTTTTAGACCGGTTATAGCGAATTCGGTTGTAACAAAATAGCAGCTACAGCGAAGCGATCACGATTTCCCATTCCCTTTTGCACTTCGTTATAACCGATGTCGGTTATAACGAAATACCGGATATATCGAAGTGATTTCCGATCCCCGTTGACTTCGTTAGAACCGGTCTCGACAGTATACACACCAGCTCAACTCCCTGACGTCACACCACTGCGGTGGCGCTGCTGTCGACACTGCGCATGCGCAAATTCCTCACCCTCACTCGAATATGGTATCTGCGCACGTGCAATGCGCACACCATGGTGTGGGCAGACATACGCTCGTTCGTAAACAGTGATTTGGTGCATAGTCCGTGAAAATTTAAGAAACGTACAAAATAAAAAAAAAACTGTATGCAGACATGATCGAAGCATGCACGAAGGCAACGTGCTTCGACCATGCCTCAGGCGTGTCCGCATAAAATTCTCTCTTCCTCGTCTACAGCGTACATATGCGGTGTATGAGCGAAGTGGCTACGGCTTTAACGATTCGAAAATGCGGCTCCTTCAGCTTCAAAAAGGGTGTCGGGAAGGTCGGGCATTGTTTGTAATTACTCTGTAGCGAATTGTTTTATAAATTCCGGAGAAAAAATAAGTTGTCTTGCGATTCTAGAAGACAAAATAATGAAAGAAATGCTTTGGATGAGTTGCAGCAATGAGGACCAGAATGTCTGAAGCGCGGCTTATTTTGGTAGCTGTACTGCGAACCACTGTTGCGAAGAACCACGCTTTTGCTCGCGTGCATTTGATAGCACTGCATGCTTCCTTTAAAACAAAATGTAAAAAAAAAAAAAAAGTTCGTGACTTTGTTCAAAACAAAAGTTCGTGACTTTGTTTACTAGTGCTTACAACGCCCGCGTTTCCACAAAGCACGGTCCCGGAAGCGCAGCATCTGGAGGTCGTCATCGAAAAGAGTTGGCAAGTTTTTTTTTTATTTTTCTAGTATCGTTAGTCCGCGCGATCGGTGGGTATGTGTGACTTAGATTGCGTCTCCGGAAAACATAAATACGCGGAAAAGGAACTAAACACAGGTATACCGACCATTCCATTCCGTGAAAGTTTGGATTTACTCATATCGGGAAGGGAGAGTAAAAGATCGAACCCTGATTTAAATATTGGAATGGTAGCTTAGTTTACACAAAAACACGTGGGCTGTTTTCTTCTTTTCCCTTCGTCATAAAAGCCTACGCAAAGCAACACCATAGAAAACAACACACTATGGAACGAGCTCCAAAGTGAATTTAAATTTATGCAGAACCCTAACTGCAAAGGTACGAACCAGAAACACACACACACACACGCACACACAACGCGCGCGTTGAAATTAAGCAAATTGGAGCAAAACCCCCCGCTTCAGATACGAATAAGTCCCACATTCACGCAACAAACACAGACACACACACACGAGGCGCGCTCGTATGTGCAATGCAACGGTAACACTCAAAAACAAAAACAAAAAAAGTAAAAAAAAGAACGCGAAATTAAATTTAAACGTTTCTGCACTTCAACCCGACCCCAAGATACAAACAACAACTCCAGCAAGCTGCTACTATCAACGAGATAGAACTTCGAAGTAGAAATGAAAGCAAAGCGAGCTTGGCTCAAGCTCCCTCAGAGCACGCTCGCAGTCGCCTGAGAATCTCGCTTATTAGTCTCGGCCGCCCGCGTTCCCGGCTCGGAGTGGGGACCCGCAGTGGGAGTCCGTCTGTCGACGGCGGAGAAAATGAAAAGCCAATGAAAAGCATGAACCCCCCTCCCCTCTTTCCCCTGTCGACCGCACAGCGACCGAACGTCAAAGGGCACAACCGCACACGTCGAGCGCAGAGGAATGCCGGCACTTTAATATACGTGTCAGGGATAGCACCGCTGTCGCCCCTACGCGAGACCTTCGGGTACGGTAGACCCGGGGGGGGGGGGGGGGGGGGGGGGGCGGACGTTAGGACCCGTGTCGTACGCGATTACTGGCTTTCCAATGCTGGCTTCGGGTTTAATTTGTCTTCGGAGACGCAGCGTGTGTTACGAGATAGACACACAAGCGGTCGTTGTCGCTGCTTAGAGGGTAAGGGGGAGGGTGGGAAGGTGGGGGTTCGATATATCAATGCGTGGCTTGCGCTGGGATTCGTGGTTGCGATTTGTGGCGACTCTGTGGAGATATCTTGAGTTTGGTTCCCGGTACTCCCGTTGGTTACCGAAATAACGATGACCGTTGAATATTTGCGCGTCTTGTTGTAATCAGTGACAGTTTGATAAGGAACGGAGGGTGTGTCTTATTATTTGGATCATGCTTCTTGCATTGGGATGCGTCTTCTGGGCGTTCCTCCTATACGGAACGTAAATACGTCTGTTTCTTGCACAGGGGTTGCGATGATGTCAGAAGGGTCGGTTGCGAAGTATATGAGCTCTGAGTCATACTTCGTTTCTGGTTCGAGAGAATTCGGGTTTTAGTCGCCGTAAGCCGGATTGTGCAAATTGTGTTCGCTATACATCGGAGTCTGAACACGTTGTCTCAGAGGACAGGCTAAAACTCGGCTGTATGGGAGCCCGCGCCCGCAAATCCACCGTTTATAAACAAGCAACTTTTCAGTGGGTGTTGTTGTAAAGCACGCATGCACAGGAGGGACTTATCGAAGAAGAAGCTGTTTGCGCGCACTTCGTTACGTAATCAGTGCCACCGTTTTGTCGTGACGTCACGAATATATTTTGTTGTATACAACACATTAAAACATTAAAGTTAGTTTTTTTGTCTTGTTTTTTTTTTGTGTGTGTGAATCAGTTTTGATTTGTGATGTGTGTTTTACGTTAGGCGAGTTGTATAGTTTGGTGCGTGGCCAGAAAGATGATAGAGATAAAGTTTATTTTGCTGAAATGAACGCCGACGTCTTTGTCTTCGGACAAAACGATACCAGCTCTTTCGGCGTCCCGGGAAAACTACCGCAGTATCGCCTGTTTCCAAACACATCTTTTATCGAGTCCAATCGTTAACGCTCACAAGGAAAAAGAAAATAAAGAAATTGCAAAGGTTTTTGTTGACACGGTGCATGCGACTTGTCTGCCAGCAATTCGTATTGGTTGTTTTGACTAGCGGTAAGATGTACTCTGTGGTCGTCCAAATGTAGCTTCCCGAAAAGGCATAGCCAATTCTTGAGAGTTCTAGTAGACTGTTCTGAGAATTCTCATAATGTCACCCGAACACGATAGGATGCTCGCGCAAAAGGCGCTTGCGAAGTGTCGGATATCCGTATTGAAGTTGTCAGAGCGATCTACTAAAACTCCCTTTTATCGGAGCTATCGCAATGGTCTAGTAAAACTAAAGCCGTGCTGATTCGTTTAAAAAACACTGCAATAAAATTTTTTTTTTCCAAACTGCATAGATGGGACACATATTTTTTCGTAATTGTTCCACGAGAAAAGAAAAAAAAAATCGCGCAATATTTACGTTGTTAGACGCAATTTAGGTGTAGGTCACGGTCCGCTCTAAGCTCCGCCCACAAATTAGTTGCCCCCACCCATTACTACTGGATTGGCTTGGCTCTTCGGCCGAACATTCTAACATGCCAGGTGTCTTCCGTTCCCGACATACGGCGCGTTTATACCCTGGTGTCTGACAACGCCTCCTAGTTGTGTGCGCGGACGCGCGGCTGCCTGCGACATCGTATGCTATTGCACCACCGTCTATCGTCGTCTGCCATGCACCTGCACAGCTCTTCCGGAGGCGCGCACTAGCGACAGTTGTTTGCTGCAAAACCATGTCGGTTGATGTGATCTTCCTCTAAACACCTCTGTGAACTCAAAACGACACGCACTCTCAAAAAAATTGACGAGCTCATGTTCAACACTCTGCAAACGTCGGCAGCCATGTTTCTTAACGTTTCAAACCAATGCGGGAGAACAGAATACACTTGAAAACAATATTGACTTTATCTTGAATATTTACTTCTCGAGCATACAAAAATAGTCGATTTAAAATATTATTACGGCACGGAGATACAAATTTACAACCAACCTTTCACGCGTCAATCATCTCTCCAGCCGATGAGAGATGTAAACACCTTGTGAGCACGGGGCGAGGCTTAGCGGGCTGCAACCTCCACATTCTGCACCTCAATCGCGCCTAATGGCGTAAATATTGCTGAAAAAAAGTTTTAAAAATAAACCATTAAAAATAAACCCTTTAGAATTATTTTTTTCATTGCGGCGTTTTTTTTAAGTGAGGGTAAGTAGCATTGGCGCTTGCGGGGCGTTGCATTCATTGTCTCATTGCAGTTTTGTGTGTGTGTGTGTGTGTTGCAGTGAAAATGAATGCTCAGAGCCCCAAGCTGGACGCGGCGTGCCCTGCCCGCACCACCAGCCTGTATACAGCACACTCAAGTGAGTTTTGTCGCCCACACGTTTTTCTTTTCTTCACTGCCTGCTCGTGAACACTGCCTGCATGCTTTTGAGTGCACGCCTGCCGCCAACTGCCCGCGTCACCACTCTAGGCCCTACGGATTGTGTACTCGTGTAGTCGATACCACCTAAACAACAAAGTTTGTCCCTTAATGAATTCATGAAAACTACGGACAGGTCGACAATTATAGAAGTAGAGTTGAATGGCCGAGTAAACATTAGCTTATACATAGAAGAGCCATGTTTGGACGTACCCAGTTGTAAATGCAATTTTTAGCTCGGCCTTTTGAGGAACAACTCACGCGTTTCTTAATCGTGACTTAAAACACGTGAAATTTAAAATGCCAGCTCAAAAAAAAGTTTTAGTGTGTTTGTGGATTTTCAACTGATCTGGAGGAAGAATGCTACTCTTGCATACTAAACTTTTGCGAGTAGAGTAAGCAAAACAAAGGACTGGGTTTTAATATTCCCGTTCTTGAAGTAACCTTCCGATCAAGGTGCTATGTTGTATCCTTTCGAATAATGATTAGATTAGGGTCGTGCAAGCATACAAGTTAAAACAAACTTTCGCTGTTCATATAATCCCTTTTGTATATAGCAGCTGCAGTGATCTTTATATACAGATTCTGAGTTCTTGTGCGGTCGGCTCATGGAGAGAAACATAAACACATATTTATGAAAAATGTTAAAAATGTACTTCTATGTACTGTATGTTACTGTATGTTAATGTCCAAACAAGAGCTACATTTTTTTTTAATATATAACAAGTTCTTTTTGGTCCCGTGACAATATTTTACGGCGGTGTATTTTCGCGTGTCTTTTACGAGACTACCGAAAATTCAACAACGCTGAAATGTTCGCAACAAAAACGGACTCCAGACACACAACATTGTTTTGGAAGCGTGACGGGTGTCCAATAGAACCGAGCCGCTGCACAAACACTAAGCACACACTTTCATCGAAACAAAAAAGGTGTTGTTTTATTACACAAAACAATATTCAAAAACCAAGCGCTCCCGTACACGTGTTTAAAGTGAATGTCACGTATTTACCGGTGAGTCGTAAGCAGAATGACTCATTAAGGAGTTGTAGTAGATCGTTTTTCTCCTCCGCTACGGTATCCCCGAAGAAAACGTCGCAGCTGCGCATGCGCGCCGCCAGCCTTGTCTGCATAGTTCAAGGTCTTGTGGCGGATTACGGAGCGCTATCCGGGTGCTTAGCGGGCTGCGGAAACGGTCTACTACGATTCCCTATTGCCGCAGTCTACGTCATCTCAGAATTCCGTGCTACGAAAAACCTTGGATGGTCGGATAATGCATACAGATAATTTGCGACGGTCTATAGTTACTGGCAGCTTAATAATTGCAAGTTAAGAATGGAGACCAAAGCATATTATTATTGCTCCGCAGTCAAAACAATTTGCGGCACCAGCAAAAAAAAAAAAAAAAAAAGAAAAACAACAACAACAACAACGCTGAAAAGTTATTTAAGCGAGAAGTGTGAAACCCACGACCCCCGTTCCTTTGAATGTAATGGACTGTATACCAAATGTCACTAGTTGCGTGCCGTAGAGGACAAGGCAACGCTAGGCGAGGGGTGAAGGGGCAAGCACTAGGAAGGCTTGGGGGGGGGGGGGGGGGGGAAGGAAAGAAGCCTCCTCTTTCCTCTAACGTAGCTAGTGCTCTCCCTTTCTCCCCTCGCCTTCCCCTCCTGTCCAGCCTTCCTGGTGGTCGCACTTTCTCTCTTCGCCTGCCGTTGCCTTCGCCTGCACTGCAGGCAACTTTAGTGACACGGAGTATAGTTACATTTTCCCATGTTACTCTTTGCGGAGTAGCACGAGTAACATCCTGTCTCAAAATCTTTATTTTAGCGAATGTGACAAAGCAATTTTTTTTTATAAAACCACACAGTCAAACTAAGCATACATCCTAGAAAAGCAAAAAAAAAAAAAAAAAACACAACAACAACACTGTGTTAGTCGCGGACATTATGACAAAACCAGCTGTGGACGGGCCTTAACCGCGTTAGAAAAGCACGTTTTTTTTATGCATGTGCATGCTCCAACATGTTTGCAGACAGTTTAGACATGGGCTAGGTGGCGCAAGCTGCCGCCCGTTACAAAAAGTGTAGCCATGACATCCATCCAGTGTTTCTGCGTGACCAATGTGACCATCCGTACAAGGAAGAAACGCTCCTCAGACAGTTTATTTGCAGACGGTCTTTAGTACGACGTATTGGCAGCTTGACCGCGGCTTAAAATGCGAACGTGTCTATTTCACGTAGATTTTCGGAAACATCAGACGCATTCACGCGTTTCGTCGATGAAAAGGTATCGCTTCCGACGCGAATAATGAAACTGTACAATGTTTCGACGTCGATTCGTGTAATCGATTCAATCGCATTACCTGTCCGAGTCGTGGACTTACGCGAGAGTCACAACGGACGAGTCCTGGCGTTGCGTCTCCGGCGTCCTGAACAACGAGGACGCGGTAGTGGATGAAGCTAAGCCTCGCGGCGAACACTTTCACCGAGAATCCCGTTTTCACCGCGAAGTCACGGCGGTAGACGCGCATTTCGCCCTCTAACTCGTCGCTTCGAAGGTACAAACGTCATCACAAAATGGACGAGTCGAGCAGTCGGAGTCACTGTGGCCGGCGTCGTCAGCTCGGATCGGGTTCGGGTCACACTCAAGGACGCGGCTCGGCTGTCAGTCGGCGGACAGAAACGCACGGACGAGAACCGGAAGGACTTCCCGTCTCTCCGGACATCGAGGCGGAAGCAGGAGCCGAAAGCGCGGTTGCAGCGCCAGCGACGGGGTCCGAACCTCGAGCGGCCAACTAACGGCATCTGTCGGGCCGAGTCTGAACCACGCGTGCTTCGGGGGCCGCGGCGCTTTTTTTTTTTTAGTCCCCAAATAAACCAGAAACGCCGCCTTTTGGTACGTCATCGTAAGCGGTAAAGTTTATCGTCGCCACTTGCGTTGGTGTTATGCGAAAAATTAGGCTGGAAGTGAAGTCAAGTCGCACTGCTCACACATCAAACAAAAGGCTAGGTGGCGCAAGTTGCCGCCCGTTACAAAGGGCTTTTAATGTCCATCTATCCATCCAAAAGGCACGATGTTCGCTGCAGACGTGATGAAAATATTTTCTGCTGTCAAACACGGTCCGAGAACGATTGCTTTCAACACATGTTTGCTTCGAAAATGACTGCACACAGCCTGCAATGCAACAGTGCTCTCCGCGCCGCGCGATGTAATGTCGGGTTGACGAAAGGCCTCGTGGGATTTTCTGGGAAGGCCTATATTGCCGCAGCGGCATCCAGATGGCAGAGCAATGCCAAAAAAATACGACGTTATTACTATAAAAAAAATTATTCTCCTTTTTTTAATTACTATAATGCAACTTATAGCCCGATTCGACCAAAATAACTGACGAAATTGACGTAGGAGCGGAGACCGAAAACCCTATAACAGGGCTCAAAGACATCGAGCAATTCTAGACAGGCGCCAAGGACAAACGCAGAACGAGTAAACCCAACACACAGCTATACCAAATATTTGGCATTCTGTGTCTGAGACTGCCTGCCGTATTATAGACCTTTGCAAAAATTGCCTTCTGCGCTCCGCCATCTTTGTCTGCTGGGCTGTGAAATTCCTTCTGAGCATGCGCTGTTGATCTGCTGTGTGGTATATCGGACGCTGGGCATGCGTCCACAACTCAGTGACTCAGCATTTTTCGCCCGGGTGATAAGCGATGCAAAGGTCTATACTCTGCTTTTTTTAAGTACAAAGGAGTCAGTATAAAGATATTAAATTCCATAAACGCTTCATCTGCTCCGCATAATTTCTGTTGTACGAAGTGGTTCGACGTTCCTATCGGTCATGATCACCATCCGAGCAATCTGTGCAAACCAAATACTAAAAAAAAAAAAAAAAAAAAAAAAAAAAAAAAAAAAAAAAACTGCGGAGAGCAGTGTTGTTGAAGGCGAACAACTTGTGCATACCGGGCACATAATTGACTGCAGCGTTGTGGCACCAACGACGTGTCCATATCACACGAGCGAATGACGTTTTAGCGAACCGCGACATTCGAGCGAATCGACGTTTTAGCGAATAACGGGGGCGCGCGTTAACCCAACCGCCGCGCTGCGCTTACGGCGCTTCGCGGCGACAGTCTGCGGCGGCTCAATACAAAAACGTGAGCCCATTTGGCCCACCCGAAAACGCCGCTTCGCGGTGTCCGACTACTCGCTAAAGTGTCATCCGGTGAGACATGGGCGTTCGCTAAATCGTCATTCGATCAAGTGAGTGCCTCCCTTCCTTACAACACGCCAACCAACTCGAAGGTGACGAAACGTTCTAATAGCGAGTTTTAGTAGACCGTGTTTTCCGCTCCGCTAAGTCCCTCCGCTACCTGGAACTCTACAGCCAAGGCCATCGGCGCGCAGGCGCAGTGGCGGTTTCTTCGTAGCGGAAGGCTAGCGGAGCGGGAAACACGGTCTACTAAAACTCCCTAATCTTGGAGACGTAAAGGGAGCGCGTTCCTTTCGAACTGCTGGAACCCGTGACGGGAACTCGTTCCAAAGGTTAAGAAAGAACGAAAAACCAGAATTCGTTCCTGGTTTGGAGGAACGTGTACTGTACAACGCTGAATAGTACGTAAAAGATGAGGCCTGCGTGTGGTACGTCATCGTCAGTGCATCCTCGATTCGCCCCCAAACGGCAGGCAGACGCTGAAGCCTCGCGAGCGACTCACTGGAAAAAAAGCTCACTGGAGAAAAGCTCACCGGAGAAAGGCTCACCCTTTTTCGTGCGGGTCCGGAGGAAAACTCACCAGTCTTTTGACATATAAGGTGAAGAGCTTACTCTGCAGTATTTTAACTATCACGCAATAAAAATGATATATATTTCGTTATATATATTATAGTCATGAAACATCCTGTACAGAAGCTTGGGGTACGACCTACACGACGCCTATCTCAGG